CCCCCGCCCGTCTCGAGATTGCCCCGTGAGGAGCTCCTCTAGCCGGCGGATGGGTTGATTCAAATCCTGGTACGGCGCCGCCGCCGCGGCTAGCGTTTCTTTGAGCGACCTTGAGGTGAAGGTCAAGGGCTGACAATGTCGGCCGTGCCGTTTGTTTGGCCGGCGGTCGTTTTCATCCTCGGTCCTGCTCGGTCTCATCGCAAAATTGCGAGGGCGGGGGTATCGCGCGCTCGCGCCACGTGCAAATGACAGCACGGCACTTGGTGGACCTCTCTGCTGACAAAACCAAGCAGCGAGCTCTTGCGGTAGAGCAGCATAAAGTTTGAAAAGCGCGCCAGTACGAGAGTACGCGTTTGATGAGTTTAGTGCCATAATAAGCGATAGTTTTGTGAGGTTCATGTTTCGGCCGCCCCCGCCTTGACCCGCTTGGGCACCGGCGCACGCCGGCTGACCCGGGGCTGACGCTACGCTGACCGCCCCGCCGGCCGCGCGACCAGAACGGGGCCAGCGGTCCATTCATTATCTCACTGCCGAGGTTGCTGCCGCTCCACGCACCGGAGCAAGGCGGGAGGAGGAAAGCCCGCGGCGACCATCAAACGGAAATGGGCGACCCGTCTCCAACGTAAGAAGGACCTCAGGACCTCACTATCCCCCTCGCTGCTGCCTCGCCCGCCCCGACCTTCTCTTGTCTTCTTTCCCGGATAGAAAGTCGTCGTCGTCGTCGTCGTCGTCGTGGTCGTTACGATGGTCATCGTGTGTGCCGTACTTTACTCCGAATGTGAATGTGGAGCGCACGCTGGTGTTTGTGTGTGTGACATAACGAGGCGGGGTAGGGGGAGGAGGAGGGGGCGCTTGTTGTCAACCGGTGAGAAGGAGGAGGAGGAGGGGGGCCGGAGTGCGCCGCGGCCGAGGCTCCGGCCCGCCGCCGTCCGCCGCCGCGCCCGCCGCCGGAGTGACTCGGGAGCCGAGCTGGAGGGACTCCGGCGCAACGTGACAGTCTTAATTGGACCGGCGCCGGCACCTGTCGCCGCGTCTCTGTGCCGCCCGCGCGCCGCGCCACGCAGCCGCGCCACCCGCCCGCAGCCCCGGGGACCAATGCGGGGCTTCAGCGAGAGCGACAGAGAGAGGTGAAGAGGAACGACGCCCCGACATGGCCGGACCGTCGTGGGTAAGTCGCCGCCAGTGTGTCTGTGTGTGTGTGTGAGAGAGAGAGAGACTTTTGCAAACGGAGGAAGGCTACAAAATTTAAAGGTGACCTGTATTGGCCTCTGCTTTGGCTCAAGTTCATCGAAGTTCATAAATTTGTCCAATCAAAGTTGACCAAAGTTCGGCCGAATAAGCTCATCGACATTTTTTATCGAAGTTAAGCAAACAAATTAATTACGCTGAAGTTCGAGCCCTCTATATACGAACGGTCGCATGTGGTCACAGTCCCGCGTTAAATCATATCGATGGTGCACTACACCTCACAGAGAAAGTGTCACTTTAAGTGCGGCCCATTCTTGTTGTTCCTCTGTGTTATTGGGCTATTGCGACATGCTGGACCTGCGGGCCAGTTGGTTTAGATAATAACTATAATGTATAAGTTTAGTTAGGCGAAAAAGTAAGTAGATGTCAAAATGTTTGTAAATTGTAAATATGTGTGGTCCAGTTCCAAAAAAAAGAGTAGAATGTTGTTTTACGGTTGAGTAGGCTGAGCTCACTACAACGTGTTCCAATGTCTAAATCGTTCTCGTTTAAGCGGACGCGTATTCGAGTAAACTGCGGACGTCAGAGTAGTTCCTTGGCTATTAACTTTTAAATTGTATATGGGCAGCCGGTTCCGATGCCTTGTTTTCTCACTCGCACTACTCCTTCCCTTACGAGTCCCGTTGTCCCGTTTGATGGCCGATCAGTGGGCCGGCTCCACGCCTCCTGATGTAACGGCGGGCGACGCGATGCGACACTTTCCAGAATGCACCTCTTTACCTGAGTTATTCGCTGAAGGTGAGGCGGCGCGGGCCGCGGCGGCGGCCCAGCGCAGGGCTACAGGGCGTGACGTACTTAGTCCACTTTCCTGCAGCGCCCCCGTGCCCGTGCGCCGCGGAGCTCGGCTCGGGCTGCCTGCGCGGGGCGCTAGCGGCGCGCCGCCCGGCGGAAAGCACCCATTGTCAGCCCAATGGGTCCGGGGGGGCAGCCCGGCGGGGGCAGCGAGTGAGCCGGCGATAAAAGGCTTTTGACAACCAGCGGTGACGGTATTCCTGGAGGAGCTGCGGAGGAATAATTCGGAGGGATTCGACGGAAAAGGGCCAGGCCAAGCCTCCTCTGGAGCATTACCGAGGCGGCGGGGTGACTGGGCGGATCAGCGGGCGGGCGGGCTCCTCCGAGGAGCATGAAGATGGTCCTCACCGCGACCGCGCGGTCTGCCTCCGAGGAGGAGGAGAGCGGGGCGGAGCGGGGCGGAGCAGGGCGAGGCTACCCCCGGATATCACTCTAACGCCCGGATTTATCTTCATATCCGGCGCCCGGAGGTGAAGACGCCGGGGCGGCCGGCACCAACCGGAAGAGGGAGGGTCCGGGGGCCGCGAGGCGGAGGAGAAGCGGAGCTTTGCGGCGGCGCGCGCGAAACCCGGCTCTCGAGTAGCTGCGCGGAGGAGTGCGGTGTGCACGGCGCTCCGCGAGATGCTAGGGGTGGCAGAGGGTGCGGGGCGTCCTGTCCGGACCGCTATCCGCGAGGTGCGCGCTATTGGGCTCCCGCGCCCCGCCACCGCGCCCCGCCGCGGTCAAGCTGTTATTCCCCCCGGCCGCCGCCGGCGCGCTGATCACAGCCGTGATGCTGCCCGCCCCCGGCGCAGCCTGCTGCTGGACCGCCATCTGCGGCGCGAGCATTCCGTCCCGTCATCGCCGATATCTGCACATCGGAACATGGAAACGAGGTCTGGAGGTCTGGCAGCGTCACGCCTCGATGTCGCAAAGGAGAGAGGGAGAGAGAGAGAGGGGGGGGGGGGCGTGCTTCCGATCTCTGGATTGGAAATGAAAAATGGAAAAATTCTGCTGCCCCGTGGTGATAAATGCTGTCATTCTTGTGGGGCCGTGAAGTTTGTCAAATAAGACTGCCTGGAAACCGCTTTGCTCCCCTGCTTTTTACTCTCGAGTGAATCACACGGGATCATCAGACCTTTTGTCAAGCGTCGACACCTGGCCTGTACACAATGAGGCCGCCGCCCAGGCGCGCCTGAGGGTATACTTTACCCAAAGCCGATGTTGGTTTGTTTACGACCGGCGACTGAACCAGTCCGGTGAAACAGCATTTGTTGGAAAGCGGTGGCACGTGTGTCGAGAGCAGGCACACGGATGGGATGGAGGGAGCCGGCGCCGGCGCACCCAGGTGGACAGAGGCACTTGCTGTCCGGCTGTCAGAGCATTGAGGTTGACCAGGTCCGCCGAACGCCACAGTATCTCTCTTCGCTCCTCAAGATTTCTCCTCAAGATCGTAAACAGCATGAAAATAATGGAGATCAAGATCAATTTGAAGCCCCCCCCCCCCGCTTTCCGAGCAAAAAAGGAAGGAAAGAAGCACAAATGTGCTCAAATGTAGCTTGTTTTTCAACCCGCTGTTTTAAGGTGAAAAATCGTCAAAAATAGGAGCTCACTGAAACATACCTTGAATTGTGCCAAACATGTCTTTCAGCCAGTTCTAGTTCCCTTTACTCCCTCAAATAACTGTTGTTTTTTTGTTGTTGTTTTTTTGCTGTGTGTAGTTGTATTTTATTTCTCTGAGGACATTGATCCACGCAAGTGCAAACCATGCGAATGGAGAACGCTCTCGGAGTGTCTGAGCAGGAGTTCGGATCAAGACCAGAACAATGATTTTGGAAAGGGTGGGGGGAGTACCTTTAGGCAGGGGGAGGTCCGTCCTGCGACCTCTCGAGGGAGACGTAAAGCACAGGGGACAGCAGCGCCATTGGGTCTATCTTGGTGGCAACCCTTGACTTTTTGTATGCCCCCCCCCCCTCTCTTCCAGCTGCTTCTTACAGTATCCCCGTGTAACAGTCGAATACAAATGCAATAAGCCGTAACCTGTGCGGATGTTATTCACGGCAGGGGCCCTTGACGTCCTCGGGGCGAGCGCACGTTTCTCCATCGGGCTCGCGAGGGGTTTCTCCAAGGGGCCGTCAGCTGCGTGTCCAAGCCGTGTGCGTCGCGCGTCAGACCGTGCGACAGCCTGTGACAGGTGGCCGATTGCGCCGATTGCACACGGGGGTTGGGCGTGGCCCATGCCGGCCCGTGCATCCAGCGCTTCGACACGGTGACAGCTCGGCGCAGGGCGTGGAGCGCGTGAGCTGCCCAAAGTGCCCATGCATATTTCAACGCACTACCCGATCAGTGGCAGCACAATATTTATTTTACATTTATTCCGTGAGCTGAGGACTATCCATGCCCATGTTTTACCACTTTTTTGGTGACGTTAAAAGATGTCAAAAGGTATGTTGTCTTATTGATGGCATTTTGTCTCCGAGGCAATGCTGTAAGCTTCACCACTCAGAGCCGTAAGATGCTTCACATTCGGAAGCACCTGAATAAATCGAGAAGCACTCAGAACTCGCGTAAGGAGAATAAGAAACTGTCATGGAATTTTGAATTCCTGCCCGTCTCGTCGTATGTGAGGGCTGTCTATTGAATAAAACGTCAGCACGCTTTCCTTAACACGTGTGCACTGATAAAGAAAGTAGTGTGCAAGAGGTTTGCACACGCAAGTGCTCAACACTACGCTGCACTCTTTTCAGTGTTTGAACAGGGATACTTGAATACTAAAAGGTGTTTCACACTAAAGATACCAAAGACACCAAATAGTGCACCTGCAGGGTTGGCCTAGCAGATTTGGACTCTTTTTATAAATTTACTGTTGAACACTACTAAGTATTCTAGTTCCAGTCCAACACCTAATTGTGTGCACCACGGTGTGGGACAGAATTTTGACGGGTGATTTTGTGCGTCCCACCTCCGACTCGAGGCCCCTCTCGGTCCGTGCACATGATGCTGCGCACAGTAGTAGTTGGGCGGACGACTGCATCGACGCTCCTGCGGTACATATCGCTGTTTGCATTCCGTGTCCGAACGAGCGACGACCCCGGCGTGGCGCGTCGCGCGCAGCAGCGGCTCCAGCAGCAGCTCCAGCAGCGGCTCCAGCAGCAGCTCCAGCAGGGGCTCCAGCAGCGGCTCCAGCAGCAGCAGTGGCTCCAGCAGCAGATCTAGCAGCTCCAGCCTCCAGCAGGTGCAGCACCTCGGCCATTGTGGAGAGGCGCGCCGCGGGCCGTGTTGTGTTTTACTGCAGAGCAAACAGACGGCGGGAGGGCGAGGACATGTGCGCAGCGCGGACCGCGGCTCTGCTCTTGATGTCGCTTTTTAGACCACTCTCTCCCTCTCTCCCTCTCTCTCACTCTCTCGCTCCGCGCGACCAACACCTGGCACCTGCAGGCCCGACGCGCGCTATGGCGAGCGGGCGGGCTGCTGGCTGCGCCGGGCATGTCAAAGCTCAACAGCGAGGCAATATTTGGCGAGCAAACATGGTGCGGGGTGGCAGGCCAGGCCAGGCCAGGCCAGGCTGGCCGGGTGGGGCGCGGCCCTCTGGGCCAGCAGGGCAGAGCCGCGGCAGAGCCGTGTAAAAACACGTGGGGCCGCAGCCTCGCCGCCGCGCACCCCGCGCGCTGCAGCGCCACCGCTGGCCGCCCACCCCGCACCCCCTATCCCCAACACCGATCACCTGCTTTTCGATTTCTCGCGCGTTCCTACTCGTCGTGGCCAGTGGCTCGTCTGGTTGCTCCCGGCACAGAAGTATTGTGCTGCGACAATGTTGCTTCATTTCCGACTCAAGAGTGAGAGTACACACCCATTTCTGACGTGATGTTCTTTCCTCCCTCGGCTCCATGTCACTCTCAGTTGAGACGCCTGAAATAGGGTAAAATTCGCCTTTTTTTGCCAGATTCAGACGTGAGGTCGGCGCCTGCGAGAGTCTGGGTAGGCCACCCCGCAGTACACGCCTGCACTGCAGGCAAGGTGTTGCCTACCTATCAGGCGCTAGGAGACCTGGAAAAGGATACAAAAGCCAGGCTCGTAACGGCGAATGAGTTGCGAGATGCCGGACGTACTTTCGGGATGGTCCTCCTTTGGTCCCACCAAGAAAGACCTAAAACCC